ATCAAGCGAACCAGGATAAAAATCATCATGTCATTTGCATTTGATTTTAAAGTTTCAATTAACCCCCCTCCCCCCCCCCCCCCCCCCCCCATTCTTGCGTTTTTCACTTCTTCAATACTTACTAGAAGCAGAGTGAAAAAATGCATTGGTTAAAGGATGAAGACCTCAACACCAAGTTCTTCCATTTGTCTGCTACTGTGAGGAGAAACTCTAAGAAGATTGATATTCTTAAGAATGATGACGAGGAAGAAGTGAGACACCAAATGGGGTTGTGTGAAGTAACTAAATAGTACTTTGACAATTTGCTCAAATCCATGGAAGGTGATTATGAGCCAGTGTTGAACCTGATTCAACCTTCGATCTCGACGGAAACCAATGATAGACTGCTACAACAAGTTACTAAGGAGGAAATTTATGATGATTTACTGGAGATGCATCTTGATAAGTCGCCTGATCCAGACGACTTCAACCCATCTTTTTATCAAAATTTCTGAGAGTTATGTAGTGATGATGTGTACGAAACAGTAGCATTTTGGCTAGACCGCAGATTCCCCCCTCCCTGTCGGCCAACGAAACTAGCACTTGCCTTATTCCTAAGTGTAACAAACCACATAATATGAAGGACTCTAGGTCAATCTCACTATGTAATGTAATATACAAATTGGTATTGAAGGTGTTAGCCAACAGAATGAAAAGTTGCTTGGGGATGTGTGTATCGAAGGAACAATCAACGTTTGTTGAAGGAAGGTCCATTCTAGACAACACTATGATCACCATTGAAATTATTCACGCTCTAAAGAGGAGGAATAAAGTTAATAAGGCCCGGTTAGCCCTCAAGATTGATATAAGAAAGTCGTACGACCAGGTATATTGGAATTTCTTGAGGGGTATGCTTAGGAGAATGGGGTTCACAGAAAGGTGGATCACGTGGGTTATGATGTGTATGACATCAGTGCAATATTTTGTTCTTGTGAATTCTAATAATGTTGGTCCTATTATACCAGGAAAAGGCTTGAGGCAAGGGAACCCACTGTCTCCTCACTTGTTCATTTTTATCTCAAAAGGTCTATCTGCCCTTATAAAAGGTGCAGTGGCTAGAGGCGATATTCATGGAGTCCAAGTCTGAAGAGGGAACCTAGTGCATCCCATCTGCTTTTTGTTGACGACTGTTTTTATTTTGTAGGGCTAATCTTAATGAGGTGCATAAACTTATGCAAATTCTGATACTTATGTTGAAGTTTCAGGCCAAGAAATTAATATGACAAATTCTGAAGTTTTCTTCAGCTGAAATTTAAGTCAATGAGCTCAGGAGGATCTTGCTCATTTAATGGTTGTGAAGAATGTGTTGGGTATAGGAACATATTTAGGATTGCCTTATATGATTGGAAGAAGCAAAAAATCCACTTTTGCTTTTATAAAGGATCATATTTCGAAGTGAATTAATTCTTAGAGAGGTAGATCTTTATCTAAAAAAGCAGTGAAATAAGTTATGGTCAAATCGGTGTTGCAGTCTATATCAGCGTACATTATGAGTATTTTTGTTATACCTGAATCAATAGTGAAGGATATTGAAACCATGGTGAATTCCTTCTGGTGGGGTGGAGGCCGTAATAATAAGGGTATAAAGTGGATGTCATGGGATAAATTAGCTTGCCCGAAGGAAGAAAGAGGATTGAGGTTTAGAGATTTTTGAGCTTTTAATATGTCTATGGTGGCTAAACAGGGTTGGAATATAATTTCAAAACCTCATGCTCTTGTCACCAGGATTCTTAAATCAAGGTATTTTCCTAGATGCTCGTTTTTTGAAGCTAACATTGTAATAATCCGAGTTATTTTTGGAAGAGTATCTGGCAAGCTAGAAAGGTTCTTTCTCTTGGTTGTAGGTGGAGCATAGGGAATGTGAGTAACATTAAGGCAATGTATGAACCTTGGCTGAGAGGGAAATGTGATGGTTGTGTGGGTGGCCCTAAAAAAAAGGTGCGTATGACATTAGTGTTAACAATCTTATGATACCTAATGTTAAACAGTGGGATGAAAGGGTAATCAAGGATGTTTTTGATGTTGTAGATGCTGAAGATATCCTTCTAGTTCCCTTGATTGATGAAGTGGGTGATGACAAGTTGATTTGGAAAGTGGAGCAAGATGGGATTTACAATGTTAGATTGGGTTATAGGATGTGGAGGTTATCCCGAGTGCATGTTAGGGTCGAGAGAGTAGAGGGGGATTGGTGCTGGTTATGTAATATTAAAGCTCCAACTCGTGCAAATCATCTCTTGTGTTGTGGAGGATATGTAGGGGTTGCTCCCGACCAGGGTCAATCTTCAACATCATCAGGTTCAATGCACGTCGCAGTGTCTTCTGTGTGATAGCGGGAATAAAGATTATTGACATGTTCCATTTGGTTGTAATGCTACTAATCAAAGTTAGGGGGAAGCATGTTTGTCTTCTATCATAAATCCTCAATTATCTTCTTTTACTAATGTTAAGGGTATTATCTTTGATATTCGTGTCAAGGAAGATAAGAAGGATGCAGGTAGAGTGGCAGTCTTGATAGACACTCTGAAAAAAAGAAAAGAAATGATAAATTTATGGAATGATGAACAAAAGGATGCCATGAAAATTGGTTTGATTGCTGGTTGTAATTAGTAGGATTGGTTTACAGCTCAACAAGATCGAGAGGAGGGTAACTTACAACATCATTCTTTGAAGTGAGAAACACCCACAGTTGGGTGGCTTAAATGCAATGTTGATGTTGGTTTCAATAATCAGAAAGGTACAAATAATAAGAGTTGGTGTGTGAAGGGTCACCTTGAGAGATTTAACATTGCGGGTGCTGCTTGGGACTTTGGTTGTCAATCTATCACGGAAGTTGAAGTTAAGGCGCTCAAATAAGCTATTCAGGTAGCATTATCGTTGAACCTGCAATAAGTTATTTTTGAAAGTGATTCTTAAAGGGTGGTTCAGGCTCTTCGATCCAAGAATAGAGGTACTTCGGACTTTAGTTTTATTATTCTTTCTTTACATAATTTACTTCTTAATTGTCCTAACTTTGAGGTGAAGTTTATCAAACGCTAAGCGAATTCGATGACCCACTCATTAGCGAAGACAATCAATTCTTAATCTAGATGTAGTACTCTACATTTGATACCTCATTATATTGAACATTATTTAATTAATGATATGAATTAAATTTATTTTTGTGAACATTTTCTTCTTCTTATTTTTAAATATTTGGGTAGTATGAGGATTTTTAAGTTGAATTTTAAATTGTAATTATCAAGATTTTTATATGTTTTAATGAGTTATGAGAATTTTAATTACTTAATATATAATTTTTATTTATCAATAAAAAAATTTCTTGTCATATTTTGACCAAATTGTAACTTATTATTTTTTTAAAACATCAAATTAAAACAATTATGTTTATTCAAATTTTTCTTATAAATGATTCCATATTAATATTTGAAATTTCAAAATTTGATGTTTTTTTTTTAAGTTTTAATTATTAATTAGAAAATTATATTTATTTAAAATTTTAATAAATTTTATTTTATCTTAATATTAAAATATATGAAAAAGAAAAAATAAAATTATTGATCAAAATATTAAATAATAATATGAACAAGTTTACTACTCATTTAAATATTTTTATAAATAATATCAAATAAAAAATAATATTTATATACGAGAAAAAAGATCTTATTAATTTAAATATTTTATATAATAAAAAAATTATAAACACTAATTTATATTTCTTTTAAAAATAAATATTTTTAATTAAATAATTTTATATTTTTTAATTTTACTTTTAATATATATTAAAAATAAATGTGTGTAGTATACTAATATCCACCGGTTTTAAGGTTAGTGTTAAAAAAGAAATCAAATAAATTTTATTCATTTGAATTAAATCCTGAAATTTATGTTTACATCTCTAGAAATATGATCTATCTCTCTCAGTTGTTTTTTTTTTTGTTGAAATAATATCTCTCTCAGTTGCAAGACAGTCGTGTCGATGTGATGACTCATACAAAGCATTATTTTTCTCTGTTACGCATCAATAAATAACTTTCTGCTTTGTGTTTTTTTCTCTCACAAAAGTACCTTGGTTGGAATCTATGCACCAATCTAGATTATTTTTTATTTTTCATAAAAAAAAATTTCTAATCTAAAATGCTCTAAGAAATTCTCATTTCTTTTTACACAAACAACGGCTATTTTTTTTCCCCTTCTTGTTTCTGCTAATTCGTACAATGTGTTAGCTTTTCAGACTCACTAATTCATTACCACCTACTTTCCCTTTCCTTCTTCGAAACTCACTAAATGCTCGTATACTTTGCTATTATTCGCCAATTTTCAGAATAAAATATAGGAGTTAGTCTTTTTAAGTTCCACCGGATTGATTAAAAAAAATCAGCATTGATTATTAATTAAGTATAAAGTATAAATTTAAATATTAAACTACTTCTTTCACTAGAAATTGTATTTGGCTAAATACATAATTAATTAAGTATAAGTATAAATTTAGATACAACCTCCATTTTTAATTATAAGCATTTATCTTTTTAAACAAATGCAGTAATTAAACAAAAGTAGCAAATCCCCTCCCGGGACAGAGATGTCTTTTTCCCTTTACAATTTCTTTGGATACAGGTTGAGACAAGTAAATAAAAAAAGTTAAATATTCCCTCAAAAAGTAGTCGTTGTGTTGTTCAACACATTAATGATATTTTTTCCACTTTATTAAACAAACATAGACTCTTCTCATCTCATCTTCTCGAATACACAACACAACTCAACCATTTCCAGGATCCATCCATTTCTTCCTCTTTTATCCTTTATCTTCCCAAAAAAATAACTTTGTGTTTTTGGTCTTTTCTATCAACAACATTGAATAATAAACATACAAACAAACAAGAAAACTCATTATATAGCCACTAAGTCACATATCACACCTTCTAAAACAGTAAAATCAGAAAAATACCAACAAAAAAAACAAAATGTCTCTGCTTCTCATCCTTCTCTTCTCCATTCTATTCAACAACTTATCAAGTAAGAACAAAAAAAACTACTTATATATTTATTCATTTATTTATTTACTAATGTTTACTGTATTCACAGATAGCTCAGGCTTGTCATCTCAGCCAGGAATCTGCTACGGGCAACTCGGAAACAACCTACCAGCACCCTCAAAATCAATCTCCCTAATAAAATCCCTAAACGCAAAACGCATCAAACTCTACGACACAAACCCACAAATCCTCACCTCCTTAAAAAACACCAACCTCCAAGTCTCAATCATGCTCCCAAACGAACTCATCACCAACATCTCCACCAACCAAACCCTCTCCGACCAATGGATCAAATCCAACATTCTCCCTTTCTACCCACAAACGCTAATCCGTTACATTCTCGTAGGAAACGAAATCATTTCCTCCACACCAAACACAACATGGCCTCACCTCGTACCTGCCATGCGACGAATCAAACACTCCTTAAAAAAACTCAGAATCAAAAAAATCAAAGTCGGTACGTCTTCCGCTATGGATGTTCTAGAAACTTCTTTTCCTCCTTCAAATGCTGCGTTTCGGAAAGATATAGCATTTCGAGTTATTAAACCCATGCTTCGCATCTTGAACCGGACTAAATCTTTTTTCTTTTTAGATGTTTACCCCTTTTTTCCATGGAGCTCCGACCCGGTTAATATAAATTTAGATTACGCGTTATTTAGAGGTGATAATGTTAATGTTACGGATCCGGGTTCGGGTTTGGTTTATACGAATTTATTTGATCAGATGGTTGATTCGGTTTATTTCGCGATGGAGAAACTTGGGTTTCCGGATATTCGGATCTTTATCGCCGAAACGGGTTGGCCCAATGGAGGTGATATTGATCAAATTGGTGCTAATGTTTTTAATGCGGCGACTTATAATCGAAATTTTGTTAAAAAAGTTATGAGAAAACCGGTTGTTGGGACTCCGGCTCGACCGGGTTCAGTTCTTCCGAGTTTTTTATTTGCTTTGTTTAATGAGAATCAGAAACCGGGTCCGGGTACGGAGCGGCATTTTGGATTGTTGTATCCGAACGGGTCTAGGGTTTATGAGATTGATCTCTCTGGGGAGACACCGGAGTCGGAGTTTCCAGTGCTTCCTCCGCCGGAGAATAATGAGCCTTATAAGGGGAAGATTTGGTGTGTGGTGGCGCGTGGGAGTAATGTGACGGCTTTGGGGGAGGCTTTGGCGTATGCTTGCTCGCAAGGTAACCAGACTTGTGACCCGGTTCGACCGGGGAGAGAGTGTTTTAAACCGGATTCTGTTTTTTGGCATGCTAGCTATGCGTTTAGTTCTTATTGGGCGCAGTTTAAGAAGATTGGAGGAACTTGTTATTTCAATGGACTTGCTATTCAAACTGCAAAGGATCCAAGTAAGTGCTTTTTTATTTAAGCTAAATAGTTAGAAAAATAAGCTACTTAATTTTTGTAATTTTACTTGGCAATTATTTTGTGCTTATATTTTTTCTTGGTATTTCTTCATTTTTGTAGGTTATGGATCTTGCAAGTTTCCAAGTGTGACTCTTTGAAGCATGAGACAGATCATGAAAACGGAAATATCTTTCATTTTTAATTTTAATTATTCAATAGTTGACATTTCTATGGTAGAAAATGTATACTTTGTTGGCTTCATTTCATCAATGCTGGTTCTTCCTAATAGTAACATTGAACCTTCCAAGGAGGAACTTGCATTGATGAAAATGCTTTTGAATACAATGGTAGCCACTATTTGAAATCATATTGCTAGAATAAAGTTATGAAGTACTATGTTTTTATTTTTATTTACCACAATAGCATTCATTCATTCACCTTGCAATAAACATATTGATCCATATTATTGTCTCCTTTTCATATTAAATGTCATCTTTTCAATATTTTTTGTCTCAAGTTATTTGTATATTTTAAAGTGGTATTTATTACTTTCTTTTCATTACTAAACCTTTTTTTTTAAGTTACATTCCATTGGGAATTATCTTAAAGAACTTCAAAGTTTGTGATAAGAAATGGTGCTCTAAGATAGTTGAAACACACTGTTGATCTAAGATCCATCTTCTTCCTCGTTCTCCTCTTCTCTCTCAAATGCTTTGTGATTCATTCTTTCCACATGTTTTGTTCCCTGAAACCATTGCCATGTATGTGGAGACTTCAGGGAAACAACATAGATCAAAACTTTTATGGACGCAGTAGCTAATGTCTACAACATTTCTCAAAGTTAATTACAAGTGTGGTGTTTGAAAGGATATTGTTTTGTTATTACTATTTGAGAAGAAGAATACAAGTTAGGATATTATGGCCTAAGAGCTTAACACCTCCAATTGTTATTTACGTATGAGTTAAGTTGAGTTAAGTTAACATTTCAATGGTCACCTATTGAAAAGTGGAGATATTATCGTTTGAGGAAGGATTATATGAGTTTACTTTCTCAAGCCTTGAAGATGTGCAGAGTCAGATCCAAATTTATGGAACTTAAATCCATATATCTTCAAACTACTCTTTTGGTATAAATATTTTATCCCTTCAATTGTCAATCAATCATCAGTTCAAGTTTAGATAAAAAAATAATATGCATACTCTGATACGGTGAGATAATTGATTTGGATATTTTGCGTTTGATCGCAAATGTTGCGGTTAACAAGATTCGCCACCGACTTTTCTTTTATCCAAAAGGAAAGACTGAAAAGAACAGGAAAAATTTTTGAGATTATTTCTGAATTCGGGGGTAGATTATAAAAAGGGAAGGTATTAACACCCTTTTTATCCATAGTTATCTATGAGCTCTTAGTTGATTGCTAGATCACTTGTTTTGTTTGAAAAAATGTGTTTTGTGTAGTTTTTGAAAATATTTTGAAAAGGCGCATTCGCTTAGACAAACTTTGTAATAATTCTTGTTCGTAAGAACATATACAAAGTGTTAGCTTTTGAAAATATTCCATGTTTGGAAAGTGTTTTGAAAGAGTTGGTGTTTGTTTTGAAAGTGTTGGTGTTTGTTTTGAAAATGAGCAAGGATGTTTGTTTTGAAAATGAGCAAGTAACTAGGAACAATCTACCTACTCAAAAGTCTTTGTTCATTTCTTCCTTTCCTTTGATATTGCCATCTTACTATTGATTTGGTAAGAAGCCTTATCTTTGGATGTAAAGGGACGGACGTGGATCATCGTATAATCATGATAGCAATGTTGTGAGATATCTTAGCATTTCTCTTTGAGAGACTAAGATCATTTTGAAAGGCATCATTGATAGCGTCATCGAGGGACTATGATCTTGTGTTTTTGATTATTTTTGCTAAGATATCCCACATGCATAACATGACCATTTTTGTAAGGCAACAAGTGGAATTATCCTAAGGGTGCATGTGTGAAAGTGTGTTTGATTACATGCATTTTGTCTTTGATTTTTGGATTGTCTACTTGTTGGTTTTATCTTGGCATACACACATAATTACTAGCATTTGTACAAAAGTAATAAAAAGTGCAAAAAATAAATCCTACACTATTACAACCATATTGAAATGCATAAAAATATAAAGGCAAAAATAAGATAAAAAGAAGGAAAAAAAGAGCTCATTCGATTGGGGGGAAGCAGCCTTCAATTCTGCTTCTGTTGGCCTCCTTCGATTGGGCGCTAGCATCCAGCAAGTCATGGCTTTCGATTGGGCCTTGGCAGCAGCTGGTCATGGCCTTCGATTGGGCTTGTCAGCAGCTGGACGTGCCTTCTGGTTCTGCCTTGTTGCCTTGTTACCTTCTTCGATTGGGCCTGGAATCAGTAAGTCATGGCCTTCGATTCTGGCTGGACTCAGTGCAAATGTACCTTCTGATTCTGCCTTTCTGCCTTGGAAGTCAGCATGGAAGCCCAATGCTTCGTTTCATGTCTTTTTCCTCCTGTTTCTTTCGTTTGGGACATAAAATGACAACATGGCCTAAGGCCATGCTAGTATTTGTCTTGCAAACAGATTAATAGTTAAAGCACGTTCAGGTAAACAAAAAGCAAATAGAAGGGTTAGTTTTGAAGATATATTAAAAGGGGGGGGGGACGAAAAGATCAAAAAAAAGTTATATGCATGACATGTTTGAAACGAAAGGTGCAAGGGTAAGAGTAACTTACCTTGCTGCAGCCTTGAAGGTGAATTGGACCTTGAGTGGTGGCCCTGGGTTCTCCTGGATTCGAAGGGAGGGGTCTGAAGCTAGGCCTTGAATGCTGGGTTCGAAGGAGGGGAGCAAATGTGATGCTCCTTGGGATTCAAAGGAAACTGAAGTGTGCTTGTTCTTCAGAATCGAAGGAGGTGAATGTGATTCTGGTTTTTTTTTTTATTTCACAAGTGTTGAAGGGACTTAAGAGTTTTGTTATGTTTGAGAAGATTTTGGAGGTTTCATTCCTCTAGTAAAAAAAATCCTCTCCAGCCTTTGCAAAAAATTCCTCTATTTATAGAGAAAAAGTGGACATGTTAGCCAGCCTTACAAAGAAATAATAAAAATATATGTAACGTGAAAGTACAAGTGGAGGGGCCTTTTGGCAGTTAGAGTGCAGAAGATGTGACTTATGCTTCTGGCCCTCTAATTACACAAAGATTTGGAAGCAACATAGCCTATCAAGTAGGGTAAGGCCATGAGATTTCCTCAGATTTGCTTCAAACGAAACTTGTTTCGAATGGCTCAGCTTGGATTCGAAGCAAGCTGATTCAAAGGGGATCCACATTCCAATCGAAGCTTTGCATGCATGTACTTTTGTCCAATCGAAGAGTTTTCCTTGCAGGGGGCACATGTGGCCAGCAGGTCATGGCCTTCGATTGCAAGCATGTAGGAAACATACTTGTTCAATTGAAAGGCTTGCCCTGCATGGGGCACTTGTGGCAGCAAAATTTGGTACTCAAAGAAAACATGCAGGCATCACATTTGGTGAATCGAAAGGTTTGCCTTACATGGGGCTCTTGTGGCCAACAAACTTTAGTATTTAAAGCAAACATGCAGGAAGCATGCTTGACGAATCGAAAGGTTTGTCTTGCAGGGGGCACTTGTGGCCAACAAACTTTGGTATTCAAAGCAAACATGCAGGCAGCATGCTTGGTGAATCGAAAGGTTTGTCTTGTAGGGGGCACTTATGGCCAGCAAACTTGGGATTCAAAGCAAACATGCAGGCAGCATGCTTGGCGAATCGAAAGGTTTGCCTTGTAGGGGGCACTTGTGGCCAGCAGACTTGGGAGTCAAAGTAAACATGCAGGCAGTGGAAGACACAGATGAAACCTGCAACAAAAAGTCACATGCCCAGACGAAAGAGGCACGCTAGCAGCAACTTTTGAGCAATCGAAGGAGGTGCAAAGTCCAATCGAAGGGGGCTGAATCAAAGGAGGCCTATTTTTCTCGAAATTTGTCAAAAATGTTATTTTTATCTATTTTCTCCCTTTTTGACAGTTTCCTTTTAATTTTGGTACTGGAAAATCCCAATGCACTTGTGCAAGCTTAAATCCTGAGAATCTTTGGGAGAAAGCCTTGAGAATTGAGAGGGCAAGTTTTGGGGTACAACAACTGCCCCTGTTCAATCTTCTTACACCTGAAGAGTTAGATAGGAAAAATCTGCCATTCGTGACTTGAAGGTGGAAGATGATTGAATACTAGAGTGCACAGAAATTTTCACTTCATGACGTTGTGGTTGATTGTCTAGGGAATGGGCTTAAAGATGCCATTTAGGAAAATAATGGATAGTTGTTGGAGATGGGCTTATAGATGCCATCCAAAGGTGATTGCTGACAGAAATTAGACTAAGTCTAAATTCTGACTTCAACTGGAAAGGAAATTAGAATAAATCTTTGGAGCGATTTATCTGAACTAGAGGAAATGTCTACTAGAAAGAATCAGGATAAACCATTGAGATATTTAAGTTGAACCAGCAGAGGTCTTGGATGAGTATCAGAATAATATTCATAAATGAATTGTATCTGACTCGTATCCGAGAGATGTACTGAATGAGCGTCAGAATGACATCCGTATCTGGATTGTATCTGGACTGTATTTGAATGAGTGACAAAATGACATCCGAATCTGGATCGTATCTGGACTGTATTTGAATGAGTGACAAAATGACATCCGAATCTGGATCGTATCTATACTGTATTTGAATGAGTGAAAGAATGACATCCGAATCTAGATCGTATATGGACTGTATTTGAAGGAATTTGGAGTAAGTATCAGAATGTCAGCCATATCTGGATCGCATATGAACTATTTCTATAAGGAATCTGGAGTAAGTATCAGAATGTCAGCCATATCTGGATCGCATCTGAACTGTTTCTAGAAGAGAATCTGGAGTAAGTATCAGAATGTCATCCATATATGGATCGCATCTGAACTGTTTCTAGAAGAGAATCTAGAGTAAGTATCAGAATGTCAGCCATATCTGGATCGCACCTGAACTGTATTTAGAAGATAATCTGGAGTAAGTATCAAAATGTCATCCATATCTGGATCGCATCTGAACTGTTTCTAGAAGAGAATCTGGAGTAAGTATCAGAATGTCAGCCATATCTGGATCGCATCTG